TAAATGAATTAATTGGTTTTTTATTCTTTTATAGTTAGATTTCTATAATAATCAATTGTTTTGTAAATTTTCTCTTACCCGTTAGTTGACCTTTTAATTTTTAATAGGGTATTAATGATTCGGTTAACTCCTAACCGTTATATTTTATCGTATATTAATATAATACCCGACGGTTTAAGGATTTACTAGTGCTGAAAGTATACTATAGTAATGTTGTAGATACGTAAAAGGTATGGCGGGTAATATATTAATAACGTTAAAAGTACGGTCGTTTTATATTGCTATACCTATTTGATGACTATAAATAATACTAGTAATTGTTGCCCTTCTATTTATGCGGGGTCTACCTTTATAAGTTTAATATATAAAGGACCGATTTTCGTATAGTACTTTGAATATCGTGGTCTTTTCGCGTTCTATGATTAAAGACTCCCCTTCGTATAATAATATTTATATTTATTAGGCCCCTTTCTATTAGCGGATCTAAGTTTTATAAGAGTCCCTATAATCTATATTTTCTATATAGGCTTCTCTACTCCTAAAGTACCTCTAGATATTAAGGTAACGCGCTTAATAGCCGCTATTAAGGCTACTAAGTTAAAGGATATTGTTTCGAAAAGAAAGTTAATACGGTAAAAACAATACTATTATAAAATAAGTCTAATAAAAAAGGTATACGAATATAGTAGGATATATAGCGCGGATATATACGTGGGAATTCGTATCCGAGAGATAGGCTAGGTATATATTTTATTAGCGGATATTTTGGGATTTTAGGCTTTCCTTATCTCGTAATTAGTATATCTTAAACTATAGCTCTGATAAAAAGATGACTAACCTATTAAGAACTCCTACTATCTAGCGCTAATGCTAGTGATAGATTAGGACCTATTATAGGTTGATAAAGATATACCGCAACAACCTATATAAAGTTATAAGACCGAAGCGGAACTCTTACTAGAAAGAACCTTTGTTTTTCCTATCCTTAGTTAGGGATTGTATATAACTATTATCCTAATAGTTTAATTTACTTTATTAAGAATATAGCTATGATTGGCGGTCTAATAATGAATTCTATATAAGGTAATTTTCTATATATAGTTCCCTATACGGAAGAGGGCTCTATATAGAAGAAGGCTCTATATAAAAGAAGACTATATATAGAGACTTACTGTTTACTAACCTAAATAGGGATGGTAAATGCGAGATATTATTAGCTAGCTTGACTACTCCTTAAAGCGCTAGACTACTCGTTCTTTCTAGACTACTCGTTCTTCCTAGACTACTCGGTCTTCCTAGACCACTCGTTCTTCTTAGACTACTCGGTCTTCCTAGCTTATAAGGAGTCTAAGAGAATCTATATCTTAGATCCTTATATAGCGCTTCCTTATCTCTAGCTAACACTAAACGACTCTAATATTATTGCCTCTAGAAAGACTAGAGAGTCTAGTAAACTAGAGAGTCTAGCAAACTAGAGAGTCTAGTAAGACTAGAGGGTCCGGTAAAACTAAAGGATCCGGTAAGACTAGAGGGTCTAAGAAGACTAGAGGAAGCTAGGACTCTCTAATTAAATACCACAAACTTCTTAACTAAAACGGACTAATAGGTACTATACCTATTAGCCCGGTTTTGTGTATAATATTTACTAGCCCTTTCGACCGGGAGTATTAATCTGTATAGTATAGCCTAACTAAACGAGAAGAGGGAAAAAGGTATTAAGTATTAAGCTAGATATTTTTTCCTATAGCCCCGCTCTTTTTTTAACGTCTAGAGAGTCCGTTACCCTAAAGTAGAGAAAGGAGTAATAGCCGGCTAATTATATAATAGTATTATAATAGGAATATAATTAGCTTTTAGTTACTTACTTCTCTACTCTAAAGTAATAAGGTCCTTATTAGTTTGCTTCTAGGTATATAATCAAAAACGGCTTATATAGCTGCGACTATAATAGTTAATGCTCTAGAAGCTTCTATAGGTTAATTTCGTCCCTTAGGATACGAGTAGAGAGGTCGCTATACTAAGTACGAGCTTATAATAAAGTTATAAGGAGAAGTGAACGTTAGCCATACTACTCTAAGGTGGAGAAAGGAATACTAGAGTACCTAATCCCTGATCATATATTAGTTTTTTAAGAACTTTATACTATACCTCTTGAAGTGATAGTATTTATTTGTTAGATTCACTTTTCTATATCGTTAGCTATAGTATCACGTTCTATAGGAGAAAGGATCTATATACCTTAGCTTATTATCTCCTAACTATCTAGAAAAGCGAGGCTAGATATTATAACGGCTATTAATAGCTAATTAATCTATAAATTAGTAAAGTTATATATATATACTACTACAGAGTATTGTATAGATATAGAAAGGTTATGATATTCGTTATAGTTCGGGTGATTCTATAAAAACCGGCTATATATAGGCCGTATAATAATAAACCAATTTATTAGGCGGTTAACGCGCCTTTATGTTTATACGCTATTATTCTACCCTTATTTATTCTATAGTATAATTATTGTAGAAAGCATCTTTTTTTAGTTAACTAAATATCTAGCCTAGAATATAAGGTATAAAATCGACCGACCATAGAGGCCTAAATGATTTCACGTAGTTAACTTAGAGCGCGACTCTTAAGGTTTAGGAGATATATATGATAGTGTACGGGGCCTAGGAAGCGTAGGTATATTCGGCTAATAGTAGTAATTGACCACCGTACTCTTATCTAGGAGGCCGCGTCTCTCACCTACCATCCGTTTATTACTTTTTATCACTATCTTTAAATAACTAATATAACTAACCTTTATCATTTCCGGTTTAATTATTCAATAGTTGACTCGGAGTTAATCACGAAATCATCTAAGTTACTTATATTCATAGACGCTTACCTATATCCTAAACACCCGGAATATTTATCTTAACGTCTTAAGTCGAGCCTCGATTTCTACGAAAAATCGACTTCTTACTATATCCGACCGATATCGTATATAATTTGGGATATTGCTTAGCCTAGAATATCGTGTAGCCATATATCGGCTTTATATTTATTCCTACGGTTAGTATTTTAGCGTATCGAGAATAGTCCTATTTTTAGAATAAACTATATAGAGAGACGCTTAAGGATATGATTCGAAAATTTAGGCGTAGATACTAATATTCCTAAAGCTCTGTCCTATCCTTATGCGTAAGGTATATACTAGATAGGCGTTACACCTATCCTGATAGTAAAGGTTACGGAAAGAACTATTTATATAATAGTATAGTTTGATTTATTTGCTCTTTAATATATAAATAGCCGATATAGATATAATAAAAAGAGGGGGTTAATCCCGGTTAAGTCTTACCTTAGCCTAGTTGATACTATTTTTATAAGCCTCGCCTATATTTGATTTAATTGGCTTATTCTTCCTTCCCCTAACTAGAGGATAATAGTTACCCCGAACGTTCTAGAAGGATTTCTATCTTTATTAATAAAAGACGTAGTCTTAGTCTTTTACTATTATTATCGCCCGCTATAGATAAGGCTATTTTAAGTCTAATAGCCTAGAAGATACGAGAGCTATTTATAATTTGTAGAATTAAGGATAATAAGGAGCACCTTAATCTAGTTATCGCCTACGCTACCGATTATAGTAAGTTAGCCCCTACTAATATCTAAGAGAATAGATCATTAACGGTCGCTTTAGTTTATAAAGCTCGACTCGTAATTGCTAGGGGCGCGACCGAGCCTATTTCTTAGGCTAAGGAAGCGACCATAGAAACCCCTCCGACTCTACTATATAATACTCGTAGGTCCTATCGACTTATAAAATGGATAGGGAAGGAGGGTCCTATAACCTATAGCGATATAGCTAGTACGGAGAAGAAGAAGAAAAAAAGAGAAAAAGAAACTACCGGTCGGAGTTAATAGATTAACCGCCCGGTTCGTTAGTAGCTAATAGAAATAGGATAGCTAAAGATAAGGCACCTAAGGAATTAATTTCGCTAGAAGTATAAACAACGGTATATTATTTTGTTTATCTAGATTAAAGAAAGTCTAATAGATATATAGTTTATGTTTAGTCCGAAGTCGACGACCCCGAATCTATATTAGATCCCCTTAATAGCTCTTTGCCGTTATACCTAAACTTAGCCTTCGAGATAAAGGTTATAATAATAATATTAATATAATATATTAAATATAACTCTAATATCGTATAATATAGATAGCGGGACTGTATAGCCCTAGTAACAACTAAGCTCGAGAGGATACGGGAGTACGCCTAAGAGTTCTCTAGATATAGTTATAAGTAGGTAATTTACGCTATTCGAAGAGACACTACTTTAACTACTAGTAGGGTAATATAGATAAGATATAACGAAACTATCTTCTGGCTAATTATTCTTAAGTACGCCGCGCTAATCGACCTAGTAACGCTATTACCCGTTAAGGGCCTGGCTAATAGATTTACTATAGCGGAAAAAGCTACTATAAAGAAATTTATAGAAGATACTGGGTATAGTTTAGGCGTAGAAAACTAGCGATAATACCGTATTTTCTAGAAGAATATATTTTATATACGTAAGGCTAGTATTAAGAAAATTCTCTTCTACCGTACGAAAGAATTTGATAGTTTCTATAGAGGTTATTCTAAAATATCGGAAACTCCGCTTATAGATAAAGTTTTGAGATAGGAAAACGAGTATCGCCCTTATTTCGAATAACTAGAAACGCGGATTACTAAATTAAAGCAAGGAGACTCGAAGCGTCTTAGCTACCTTACTAATCCTCAAGTGCTAGAACGGTTGAAAGTACTAGAGCTCTCTTAGGATAATGCTTCGAACGAGTGGGCCGTTAATACCGAAGAAGAAAGCTTTAGGCAATACGGCTTAGTATCTATCTCGACTAATATTCTAGGCATACTATATAATAATAAATCGGTATACGAAGGTAGGATAGATAAGTCTATATTTATTACTCTTCTGCCTAAAGACGACGAGTCTCTATTTGTCTCTTCTATTATGCCTATCTATGAGGGAGACTTCCTAGGTATATTTGCCGGCACTATCCGTTTCTCGGAGGATTTTAACGTTATCTACGGTATCTTAGGTCCCGCCGAGAATCTATAGCTAGACTATTCTTAGATAACTAGGGCGCTGAATCAAATGTAGGTATCTAAACCTAATAGTTACGCAAATATATACCTTTGTTAGGCTATATTTTATAACGATACTACGATAGAGCCGCGCGTTTTATGGCGCGTCTCTGTTAAAGCTACTAAGTATATTATACCATTTTATCCTATCGTCCGCGTAGCTACTTAATAAAAGTAATACTATTTGTATCTATTACCTAGAAATACTAAAAAAGGCTTTCTCGAATCTACTACTAACTAGTAGTCTACTATTAGGACTCCCTTTACTTTTTTAAGGAATCTTAGGTACGTTCCGTTCTAGATAAATAAATATAAGTAAAGAAGACTAGCTAGTAATAAATTCATAGAATTACTTCTTATCTTTATCCTATATTTCTAATTTACTTTATAAGAATATATATATTTACTTCTATAGTACGATATATAGGCCTTTTTCTAGAACGGTTAGAACCGACTAATCGGTATATATAGTTGATTAGGTCCTACGCTTAGTAGCGTAACCTAGGCTGGCGGTATTACGTATCTTAGTAAAGGGTAAAGAACGAAAATATCGCGCTCTCTATTAGATATTCTCGCTATTTCTTTTAGATACCCTCCCCCTTCTATTTCTATCGTCGCTAGTATTATAGTTACTATCTACTCTAGCGGGGTTCAAATAGGTCTATTATAGAGCCTAAAAATATAGTACTAATAGAAATGTTTATTTTACTATTCGCGCGGTCTCGAGATATCGGAAAAAATAATAAAAGTATATATACTAGTAGATATATTATAACTCTATATATTTTAGGTCGTGAGACCCCTTACGTTCCTAGGATTATATTCGACCCTAGGATCTATGGTATAGCTCTTAGATACGCGGAAGCTTTATTAGAGTCCCTTAAAAGCTTTCTATCCGGGGATAGACGAGTTTATATCTAGGAGGGTTTAAAAGCTCCTAGGATCGCGGGTTAGCTTCCTAGGAGTATTAAGTTCGTCTGTAGGAATATAGATTACCTCTCCTAAGAGCTATATTACTCCTAGAACCCTATATAAAGCTCCTAGAGTAACCACTAGCTATTCTAGGATTAAAGAAGTATCTTTAGGTAGTATTTCCCTTATTTTTCTAAACTAAGATGGTCTATATCTCTTTTTGCTATATATATACTAGCCCTAGGGACTCTAGTCGATCCTAGAGGTACTTTGCTCGAGCCTAATAACCTACAATTTACCCGTAGGAAGGGCTTAGAGTAGCGAAGCTCCTAGTACTAACCTATATATCCCTAAAGTCGATAGGGCCTATATATAAAACTGCCCCTTAAATTTCTTAATTTATCTTTAAAGGAAGTCGATCCTAGAGACTGCCCTATTAGCTATAGGAACGTATAAGCCGGCCCTATAAGCTTTATTGTTCCTTGAATCTTAAGTGCGAATTTAGAGAGAGGAGATATAGGTCTCGCGAATAAAACCGCGAAACTACCTAGAGTTTCTTCGTTACTATTATTTAGAATCTCTATAAAGAGGATACCGACCTTAAAGACTCTTTAGTCGATCCTCGAAGGACCTACGGTTGTCTCTAGGAATAGTAAGTACTAGACTTGATTAGCCTATTTTTACTCCTAGCTCTACTTTAGAGCGCCGTAACTTGCTAGCCTAGATAGGATTACCTAAGCGGGTATAAAACCTAGATTATTATAAGGAAAAAGTATTTAAGTCCGCGAAGAGCTCCTATTAATAATAAAACCCCCTTTAATAGGATTGAAATTCCTATATAATAAATTCTAGTTACCTAGGTCCGTAATCTAGCGCGTCTTTTATACGATAATACCGGCCTCTAAGAAGTATTTAGGGGTATACTAGAGAGTCGCGATTCTTATCGAGATTTACCCCTTCTACCCCGTACCCCGTACTGAATAAACCTCTAGAATGACTACCCTTTTACTTTACGGATATCGTTCTACCACTAAACACTATTTCGACGAAGAATAAGCCGAAGCTATTATTCGAATTACCGCCTACTACTATAGAGACTACTGTCTATTCGTTATCTAGTTCTCGCCCCGTAAATACGTCGATATTCGCCCGTTAATAGTAACACTCTTTTAGCGGATATTAAATGTTAGAGTCGGCTCCCTTGACCGGCTACCCCTCGAGCTCTTATTTAATATATTATACTGTCTAGATATATATTCTCTATTTAAATTTCGATAAATAAACTTCCGGTTAAGATAAATGGTAGATTCTCTCTAGTAGTATTAGAGGGTAGTCTCTTATAGACTAAACCTCTTCTATACTTTATTACGAATACGACTTGCTATCTATATTTCTCTACTCGACTTTTATAACGTATTATATACTAAAGTATATAATTTTTGTGGCGAATTCGGTGGGTTTATATCCCTCCTAATTTAGAAGCGGTACTATTTTAATTGCCTCTAGTAGTCTTCGGAAACCTAAATACGGACTCTCGCCTTAGTCCGAAAGCAATTTTATATGACTAAAGCCGAATTAGGCTAACTAAGATTATTTAAAGCCTTATCTAGAATATACTTAATAAATAAATCTATATAAAATTCCCGTATTACGGTCGTTTCTCTCTATTAGGCCACTTTAGCTTATAGATAGTAACCGCCTAGACTTCCGTAAGCCTAACTAGCGGGCTTAAACCGAAATCAAAAAATCAACTTTATAGGGTCGTATATACTTCCTTATTACGATAAATAGACTTATAGAGTAGAACGCGGGATTTCGTATGCTAGGTATTAACTTGGTATTGAAAAAGGTATTATCGGTACTAGGGGTACGAAATAGGGATACGAGGCTTGAGATAAAGTATATACGTAAGATAGCTTTTTAGAGTATTTTTAGTGGTATAAATAGGCATAGCTCCTATAGAGATCGAGTAGCGAGGGTAAAAACCGGTTACCCGAGCTACCTATATCTACTCGGATAGGAGGCTACTTTCGAAGAAGAGAATAACTATTATATAGAGCCTATTTACTAGTATATTATAGCTATACTACCTAGAATTGATAAAGGAGAGCCTAAAAAGCGGATATATTCTAGCTATCTAACGTATAATACTATACTTTATTCCTCTACGATTTGTCCTATTTAATCTATAAATTTAACCTCTATATCTAGCTTGACCAGGTGCCTTAAATAGTAGTTGCTCGAGTTTTTACTAAATACCTTTCTGACTAGACTGTATTTAACGTTTGTTCCCTAGCGGTCTAAATACTAGACGAACTCCTACTCCTTCCTATAGCTATACGTATATTAGATATACTTTGAATCGTATATTTAGACTTATTAAGGTATCCGAAGTTAATTAGGGCTTAGATATAGGGAATAGTCTTCTCCTTACGATTTTCTACTATCAAACGACTTATACGTTCGCTAATAATCGGTAGAAGCAACTAATATAGAGAATAGAGCTTTACTTATACTATCGAGAAACTCGTAAGGTAGTAGAGGGCCGTTCTAAATGTTTACTTCTTACCGATATAATAAAAGAAGAGCTTAACTGAAATCCGATACTACTACTATTTAAAAGATAATCTAAGCGAATATTTTATATCTACTAGGCCGAATATTACCTCGGTTCCTATTAGCTTAGGAAGTATAGGAGTATTTAGACTAGCGGCTCTAGCATACTAAGATAAAGACGAGGAAAGTACTATAGGTATTATATACGAGGTTTATAGTCGTTATTTATTGTTAATTTAACTCTATTTCCTCCAAATTTAGAGAGAAAAAAAGCCCTAGACCAATAAAAGATCTACTAAGAGTAGGTTTTATATAGTTTAGTGTTTCGGGTAACCGCGGAGCTAAAATCACTACTGTAGAAGACTCTGTAAAGATGATTACCTACTGAGTTCTCAACTTAATTTATATATATAAAGTGCGCTAATCGCTAGTATATATATATGGCTGATTTAATTGAGTAAATTGCGTATAAGCCTTACTACTAAGCTAAGACGGTAGCGGGGTCTAGATTTCCTTAGCCTACCTAACCCTAGTCGATATTCCTATCCTATAAATTCTAAAGATATCGATCCTTTAGATAATAGAGTATCTTACTATCTTCTTCCGAAAATAGAAAAATCGTAAGTATAGCGGCGGTTAAGGTAATTTTAAGCATATATTATAAACCTAGCTTTCGACTATAGTAAGGGGGTATTAATAAATATGTCTTCCTATTAATATCTAGAGAACCTAAAGCATCCGGCTGTCCTCTCTATAGAAGTAGATAATAATAATTCCTTTAAAAGTAAATATCGACTGCGAATTGGAAATTAAGTCAAATATATTATTATATCTCCTAAAACCTTCGATAGAGATACGCTTTTATTCCCTATTTAGTCCCTACTAAGCCTTCCTTAGTACGATAAATAGATAGTAGCCCACATTTCGCGAGATAAAACTAGCGGCGACTTAAGAACTTCTATCTCGAACCGACTACTAGCCGGCGTTAAGTGTTAATAGTATCACGCCCTATTTAATTGCCTAGAGTTAGAGAGAACCAAGTTGCTTATAGTATCGGTATTCGAAGCAGTCTTATATCCGATTCTCCTAACTATCTTCTAAACGCTAGCGATCGTTATCGCTAAAATAGCTCGTTTCGAATAGGAGATTCCTTATATCGAACGAGAAATAAGAGTATATTAGCTGCTAGAGTATTCCGGGCTAACGCCGCGCTTCCTCGGCTATATTTATAAAAACGGACGTATTATAGGGTTTCTATTAGAGAAAATAGAAGGACGCCCTGCTTCTATTTAGGATCTAGATATCTATAAAGCAGCTTTAGGGAAACTCTACGAATTGGGATTTTTATATAGGGATGCGAACCGATATAACTTTCTCGTAGCGGAAGGGGGGATAAAACTTCTCGACTTTAAATACCTTTAGGAAAATGCTAGTCGGGAGTTAATACATAAGGAGTTAGAGAGTCTATATCTCCAACTGACTAAGGATTCTGGGCGTGGCGGAGGTTTTATAGTCTAGGGCAATAGCAATTGAAAATAACTTAGTATAAGGAAGCGATTTAATGGTTATCTTTGCCTATCTTATAGGTCCTAAGTTGTCCTAAACTTTTAGTCCTCTAATTTATATAGATGCTAGCGAGGTAAACAATTTTATATTATATTTTTAAGTAGTCTTCCTTTTTCTCTAAACGTTACTACGGAACGTTACTTTAATCCTACTACTATAGCTAATATAAGTAGGTAGGGCTCTTAGAGTAGTACGTAATAGATTTTCGCGCGGGGTAGTCGAAAAACTAACCTTACTGCTAGACCGGCCGTTAGGTAGATTGGAATTAGTAGTCGTGCTATACCTTATATAAAGCCTTTTAATCGTATTGTCTAGCGAGCGCTCTAAGATTAACTGCTTTTACCTTATAGTAACGCGTAGGATATATATTTTAGTATCTTATAATTTTGTAGTATTTTGAAGGTAAGTTGCTAGCGTACGGTATTCTCGCGATTAGGGCTTATATATTCTTAAAAGTTTATTATCTCTTACCTTTCTATATAAGTTTGCCTAATAGCGACGAGGTCCTCTAGCAAAACCTTAATCCTATTGAACGTATGGTTGTAGAGGAGTTAAAAACCTAGCTAGATGCGAATTTATACGCGGAATAGAAGTAGTCTCCTAGATTTAGACTTATAGAGTAATGTTCGGAAATTAAATTACGGGAAATTCTCTAGTAGCTCGCGTAGGTTAGTACGCGTCGTATTTCTAAGATAGTTTACGTACTAATAAATATAGAACTCTAGCGTCGCTCTTTTTCGGTTATTATACTTAGGCTAGGAGCTAAAAGAAGGAGAACTTATTCCTATATCTTATAGTTAAGGCTATACTATTAGATACGAAGACCGATCGTATCCTCTAGTAAATAGAATAAAGATATATATATTAAAGAAAGTTCGGGTAGGGATTCCTAAGGGAAATATTTTATATCTAGTATAGAAGGTTAAGAACTCGAGTCGCTGAGAAGTCTATAATCAAATCCTAGCTAATCTTGATTTTAAGTAAGCGGTATATTTTGTTTAAAAGAATAAAAGTAGGGGAAGAAAGAGGACTACGTATTAACAAAATCTAGGTCGGTTATATTAAGTAAGGGAGTAATAAAATCGAGATCCGTTAGATTAAGGACATTCCTATTATTCGATATAGGATACTATAGGGTTATAAAATTAAGAGTAGTAAGGTTAAGAACTATTTCTTTAACTTATAGTGACTGCGGACGGACGAAATCTATAGTTGATCTCTCTTAGCTAGGGTTTGTAGAGTATATAGCCGAAACTAAAGTGTTAGAACGGGACGGAACTTTACTACTGACTAATTCCTATATATTATCCCTAGATCTATACTCCGCTTACTATGCTAGTCCTACTCTAGATTAACTGGCTCCTAAGGCCTACTATATAAGATAGTTTAAAGCAGACCCTATAGTATCGGGCATATACGATCCCTTACTTAGTAATCGCGCGAGAAGCTATATACCGGGAATAAATTCACTAAGTCGTTCGGTACTCCCTACGTAGTAGGTCTCGATAGTAGAAAAGGACCTTAGATTCCGTTTCTTACTTCTCTTTCCGCTAGCTCTTATGTATATCTTCGTACTATACTTCCTTTTACCTATTAAGCTTT